AGCCCTGGTCCGGGAAGATGCCACATGCCGCGGAGCAACTAAGCCCGTGCGCCACAACTACTGAGCCTGTGCTCTAGAGCCCGCAAGCCACAACTACTGCGCCATAGCGCCACAACTACTGAAGCCTGTGCGCCTACAGCCCGTGCTCTGCAACAAGAGAAGCCACCCAATGAGAAGCCCGCGCACCTCAATGAAGAGTAGCCCCCGCTCGCCGCAACTAGAGAAAAGCCCGCACGCGGCAGAAAACCCCAACGCAGCCAAAAATAAAAATAAATAAAAAAGATTTGGGGAGAGGGGCGGGAGGAGGCAAAAGCCAGTCCCCTCCCCAGAAGCAGCTGAGTCAGCCACCTGTGCACCCAGCCTGACACATACAGACTCAGGTCCAGCAGGCCTGGCATAGAGATCCCTTGCAAGGCAGTGTGCCCCCATCTCCATCCAGGTATCACTCAGGGCACTGGTGTCTTATGGGATTGAGTGATGCCAGGCCTGCCCAAGAACATGCCACCATCCCCAGCCCATTGCAATCTCCACTGGGCTCAGGGGCAAATATCTTCAGCAGGGCCTTTGATGGAAACCGGAAAGGACTCCTGTTTATTAAGCACCTACTGTGTACTGGGCAGTACATGATTTCAGGCCCCAAAACACAATGAGCTTAGTTTCTCCCCATTTTACGGATGAGGAAACTAAAGCTCTAAGAGATAAGGAAACAAGAGCCAAGGTCACCCAGGATTCAAACAAGACAAAAGGGCTGAGGCAGACCCCAGGAAGAGTCCCACTCAATCATGGTGGACAGAAAGGCTCACTACCTAGGATAACCATGGGGTTTAGGAGTCAGGTATGGGAGCCGGGGGAGGGAAGCTAAGTATGGGATCTGCCAACCCCACCAGACCCCCCAGCAGGAAAAGAGAGGGCTACTGGGGAGTCTCCCCATAAAGCCATTTCCAGCTCCCTTTCCCTGGCCTGGCTGGATCCTCCAGTGCTTCCAGGCATCCCATCAGCCCACACAAGCAGGAGGGGGCTGTCCAGGCCCCTAGTTCGGGGCCAGCCCCGCCACCCTCCAGGACAGATGGCCGTGGGTGTTATTTTTAGAGTTCTCTCTGGAGGTGGAGAGTCCAGGGCTCTCTCAATTACCTTTTTATGGGTTCAGTCACCTGCACTCTCCGGAAATGGCTGCTTATCAGCCACTTGGGCCCTATGGGCCCCACACATCCCAAGAAAGGCCAGGTCGGTGTGGCCTGGCCACAGCAGGACGAGGGGACGTGGACCCCGTCCTCAGAGAGCAGAGGAAAATCATTCTTCTTAGGGAGCTCTCACCTGAGGGGCAAGGCACAACCCTGTTCTCTAGGAACCCCAGGCCACATCCTTGGGGACTCCCAGTCTGTGGTGAGAGGAGCCCCAGTCTGAGAGAGGAGGCACCATCCTTGTAGAGCCCCTGTCTGAGGAGTTCCAAGAACATAGCGACAGAGAAATACAGGGGAACAAGCCTGGGTCAGTTTGGAGAGGAAACAACAGAGATAAAAGAACTCCACTCCTCCAGAGGCCTTGGGAAGACAAAAGACAGGTGCTCACCCTAGAGATGGAGAGGGCAGCCGGGAGACTGGTGAGGACAGCTATGCTCCCAGGGGTCAGGGCCTAGACAAGGAGCCTGCAGGCTAAAGGGGGCAGGGACATCTGAGCGAGGGGCTGTCTACTAACACTGCAGCACCAGCTGGGGTTTCTAGCATGCTGATCCCAGGCAGAGAGAGATGACAGGTGTTATGAGATGCCCACAGGGAATTTGTGGCATTCTTGGAACCCCCTCACACCTTGGGGAGTGGGTGTCTGAGGATAGATGGGAGGAGAAGTTAGAAGGCATGGGGGAAGGCCCGGATTCAGGGTTCAACCTCTCAAGAAGTCGCTTCCCCATTTACCTTTAGAGTGAAAACAAAGGGGACCGGAAGAGGTCCCTCAGGGTGGGCCAGGAGCCAGGCTTCCACTTCACAATGACAGGGCCAGCTGATCGGTTCATTAATCACCACCGCCTCATTGAAGAGTTTATTAATTTGCTGAGGATGCCTCAGCCCTCCATCAATGGGCTCAGCTACCCCCCCGACCCACACACCCATCACCATTATTGATCCATGATTCAGCCGCTTTAAGACATGTCTGGAGGGTGGGGGGCTGACATCTGTGAGGGGAGAAACCTCAAAATAGTTGTTATTGTAGACTTGGGACTAGCACCTGCCTCCAACTTGTCCTCAAAGGGAAGTGGGGACAGAATCACTGGGATTCCCTTGATCCCCATTCTCAGAACACCTAGCAAGGCCACCCCAGGGGTCAAGGAGGCCATGAGCTTGGACCCCAGTTGACCATTGCCCTTGCCCAGTGGGCTCAAGGCCTACTCATCAAGAGAGAGTAGCCCTTGGGGCTTCCCTGGTGGCGCAGTGGTTGAGAATCCTCCTGCCGATGCAGGGGACATGGGTTCGTGCCCCGGAAGATCCCACATGCCGCAGAGCGGCTGGGCCCGTGAGCCATGGCCGCTGAGCCTGCGCGTCCGGAGCCTGTGCTCCACAACGGGAGAGGCCACAGCAGTGAGAGGCCCACGTACCAC